TGTCATCGCTTTTGGATGAAGCTGTCTTAGTGGACACCAAGAGAGTGCTGAAGCACGAAGTGGATCGTCGATCCCACGGAATCCCTTGGATCCGTTCTATCCTAAATTTCAAGAAGTCGTCTCCTAATACCCGCATTCGGTCCTTCCTCCGGACCGAGGTGTGAAACACACCTCGGTCCGGCGTAACACGCCAATGCCCTTGCCCAAGGAGCAGCGCTACGTCATTGACGCCTTTTTCCGTGCGAAGCACGACTCAGGGATGGTACGTGAGAGCAAGTCTCCCCATTCGATACCCACGTTTTGTGTTCGGAAGCCGAACGGCAAGTGGCGTATCGTTCATGGTTACAATAAGCTCAACGTTGCCAACATTCCGGCACAGACCGATTCCTGGAAAGGATGTTCTTTAAAACAACATGGTGGGATGTACGAAGTTTGACTTGGTCGATAGGTATTACCAATTGCTAATGGGAGCGAGTGATATTCCGCTGACAGCGGTGAATACCCCGATCGACATGCTCTAGGAGTGGCTGGTGATGTAACAAGGGCTGTCAAATGCACCAGCAACATTCAATCGTCTTGTGATGTAGTTGTTTAGGCCCCACCGGTCGTATGCACAAACATGCTTTGACGACATCTTCGTCTACAGTCGTACGGGGCACGGGAGCACCGATGAGGAAAACCACATCGTTGATCTGAGAGCGGTGCTCGAGTGCATGCGCTCGAATAAGCTGCATGCTAATGCCGATAAGTGCATCTTCGGCGCGAAAAACAAAACTTTTTTAAGGTGCTTTTTTGGGAAGCGTGGCCTTCGAGCGGATCCCGCTAAGGTCAAGACCACTGTGGACTGGCCGATGCTAAAGAACCAAAAAAACTTGCGCAAGTGACTTGGCCTCGCCAACTACTTGCACAAGTATAGCGCAAATTATTCGAAAATGGCACGGCCATTGTCTAATCTCCTTAAAAAGGATAAGGAATGGTGTTGGGACACCAAGCATCGGGAGGCTTTTGACCGGGTCAAAGACAGCCTTCTTCATGCACCAATACTGGCGTTGCCAGACCCCGGTCGTCCTTTTAGTGTCATCTGTGACGCTTCGGACTTTGCCATCGGCTGTGCACTGCTG